GGCTGTCAGATCCCCTGGAACTGGAGTTACAGACAGTTGTTAGCTGCCATGTAGGTGCTGGGATTCAAACCTGGGTCTTCTGCAAGAACAGTCAGTGTTCTTAACCACTGAGCCATCTCTCCAGCCCCTTGTTAGCTTTCTGTGACTGTGTTCCCACAAGAGAAGTATGAGGTAGGAAGTCATTATTGAGCATGGTGGTGTACTCGTCTAGTTCTTGCATCTAGACTGAGACAGGAGGATAGCAAGTTCAAGGTCAGTCCAGACTACACAGGAAGACCTTTGTTACAGAATAAATAAAATGAAACAAATCAATCCATTACTCTCAGAGGAGGTAGAAGTCTAGGCTCCTCATTTGTACTGGACTGACACAAGAGGTTCCTGATTACTGCGGGACAGGTGTTCCATTTCCTTATGCAGCCTCAAATGACACTGTTGGGGTTGCTTTTTTGCTACTTGCCCTTGGTGAAAAGTGCTGCCTCTCCACCAGACTTCCTCTGGCACTAGCCCAAAGGGGAGGGGACGAGGATCTCATTTCTGTCCAGTGGGTATGCTCCCTATGTGGTTTCCAATGTCATGTTGGAAGAGATGTACTTTATAGGCTAGTGGTAAAATTTCTGGCTTCCACTTTTCTTCCTTGACATTACCCTAACACAGATGCCTCACTATGGCTCAAGAGAATGGCAGGGAGCCACTATTGCTCTGTGGTGTTTAACAGGAGTAGGATGGTTATCACTGAATAATTTTCTATTTTGATAAGCTGTCACTTTTCTGGTCCTTTGGTTATATAGCTCAGACTTTTCTTCTTGGAGGTTTGGACATGTATCGATAACTATTGATGTTTCCAGATTGATGGCTTCATTAATTCTAAGCCTTGGATACATGAGGCAAAAAGAAAACACAGGTGAATTACCACTGTGCCATTATTTGATTTTTCAAATTCCTAGCTAGTCCACCTATTTTTCTGTACCTTTTGGAGTTGTCTTATTTTTGTTTTATGGATAATATCCTGAGGTTTTGATAGGAAGACTAGGGAAAATTGGTTGGTTTCATCTAGAAAATCTAGTTACATTCTTAGTTACATAATCGTTCTCAAGAATTTTCATTATTACCAAGTGGAATGCCAAACCTGAGATTGATTTCTCAATATTTGAACTGTGATGAATGTTTAACCAGAGGTAAATTAAAGGATTACCTTCTTGGTAACATGCTATCAATTAGTAATCCACCCAGGCCCTATTCATTTGGGTCAAGAGTAGAACAGACAATTTAAGTGCTGATACTATCAGTACATTCAAAGTATCCCTGCATGACACCTTTACAGGTTGTTACAGCACATTGGTTTCTCCCTGGTTCAAACTTACATTCATGGCTAACATAGCTTAGAAAACTGTGATTTTTCTGTTCCTTGCTCAAAAATTTTCTTAATTTCTTAACATTCCTTATCCTTGCTTTACAATTTCTTTAAGTAACAGCATGTAATACTGCTGAGCCAGAGGATGTATTTAACAGAGAAAAGGCATCCCAAAAGACAGTTGTAAAATTAAAAACAAATCTATGGACAATGTTTAAATCTGCAGTGAGAACCCATCCGCTAAGAAGGGCCTTCTTTGTCGTTTTCTCTTTTTGTTGTTTTTTTTTGAGATAGAGTTTCCCTGTAGCTCCAGGTAGCCTGAAACCTGCTATGTAGGCTGGGCTGGTCTTGATCTCATAGAGATCTGCCTGCCTCTGCCTCCAGAGTGCTGGGACTAAAAGTGTACACTATTTTTAACAGCTCCATGTATAGCCAGAGCAGATACTTTCTGGGGTTTTTGCTGTAGGCACAATTCACGCTTCTCTGAGGACTGTCTTTAGGTCAAGGGTAGAGTGATCTCTGCCCATTAACATGGTCGCCATCCAATCATCTTCCCATAATTTAGAATTGTGAATGAGACAGTGAGTCACTCTTATAAACAATCAGCAGTAAGATGCGAATTTGTGAGGAAGTTGTGAAACTTTTCTTCAGAGACATATAAACAGAAACACAGATGGAAAAGGGCCCTGGAGGCTTTTTCCTTCCTAGGTCTAGTCCTTTCTTAAAGCCTGGCTAATTTCTTTTCTTTCTGTTTCCATGAATAACCGTGCATTTTCTGATAATTCTTCCCTCTTACCCTTATTATTACCCTCATATGCTTTTAAATTAAAAGCCTAGCCTATGCAGGGTCTTGGGTTTGATTCCCAGCACTAAATAAGTATGATGAACTGTATTGACTTACTGATGCTGGAGCTGGAAGTTGGTTCTTGGATTGAGTACATCTTTCATTTGAACACATTCTCTGGTTTTAGAGTTTTCCACAATAGGGAGTAAATACTGTAGTGTTTCCTGAGTTTGAGCTGTGCTTTTATCCCTGTAGAGTCGTCTTTCATCATCTGTCCAGTTTATGCCAATCTTCTCACTCTGCAAAGTTGTGTATCTTTTTACTTTGCTTTTCAATGTGTGGTGTGAATCTGGGGCGTAACCACAGGTGTATACATATACAGATATATGAACAATGAAAAGACATTCATTCAATCATTTTGTATTAAGCCAAATTATATGTCAAGAGTTTTATCTGAAATTCTTGTCATGACTTAATGATAATGAAGCCCCAATGAAAAGAAACAAAGTAAAATAGCATGTTAGGTTTATAAGGTAAAATTAAGATAGAAAGGGGAATAGAGAATTGTGTGTGTGTGTGTGTGTGTGTGTGTGTGTGTGTGTGTGTGTGTGTTTGTGGTTGATTTCCATTTTCAAAAAGAGAAGGCCTCTCTGTGAAGTTAGGGAGTAGGCCAAACATCTATCAGGGGAAAGAACATTCTGGACAAAAGAACGGTAAGCGCAAAGACCCTTACAAAGACAAGAATATGGCAGTGTGTTGACATCAAGATGACATCAGTGGCTAAAGCAAATGAAAGAAAGAAAAGGTATAAATTCAGGGAGGCAGCTTAGATTCACCTCATGGATCATTGTGAGGACTATGGTTTCTACTGTGTGTGAATGGGAAGGCTTCACAGTCCGAGATTTGTTATAATAAGATCATGAGAGTTGCTGAGTTGAGAATGGACTGAGGAGGGGCAAATGTAGGCAAGAAAGGAGATCTCTGGAAGGGCAACTGAAGCAATTCAGAAGGACAGGTGGCTTGGATCACAGTGGCAGAGGTAATTAGATGGGTGAGAAGTGGAGTGGAGGCTCTGAGCATATTTGGGGATTCTCTAAAGAACTGGATGTGAGGTGGTAGATTAATACAGGAATCAATGGTGGTTGCAAAGCTTCTGATCTGAGGAAATGGAAGAACTTAGGGGAAGACTAGGGACAACATGTTAGAAATCCTTTCTTTATAATAGATGGTATGGAAGAATTGTTTATTGTGATACTAGAGTATAACAACTTTTGGTTTTCAGACAGGGTCTCCCTGTAGCCCCAGCTGGCCTGGAACTTGCTGTGTAAATCAGGCTGGCTTCAGTCTCATGGAGATCTGCCAGCCTCTGCCTCCTGTGTTCTGGGATTAAAGGAGTGTGCCACGATGCCCTGCTTATAGCAACATTTAGAAAAATTGTTTATTTGATCCTTTTGACTTAACTGTTACTAAAAACAAAACAAAAACTTTCCTAAACAAGAGAAAATAAGTAGTAGAAAGCATTTAGGGAAGCTGGAGCCTTTGTGCACTGTTGATGAGAGTGAAATGATGCAGCCATTGTGGAAAATAGTATGGCATTTCTTCAAAAAGCTAAAAATAGATTGACCATATGCTTCTACTTCTTGGTATAAATTCACAACAAGGCCTGAAAACATGCTATCAAAGAGACATTTGCACCTCCATGTTCACAGTGGCGTTATTTACAAAAAGTGGAAACAATCTACAAGTCCACTGATAGGCAATTAACAAAATGTGGTAAGATATTGACATATTAATGAACCTTGAAGCTTTTATGCTAAGTGAAATAAGCTAGTCAACAAAAAGTCAAATGCTATATTTGTCTTCCAAATATTTGAGTCCACTTACATGGGATATCTAGAATAGTAAACTCATAGATACAATATAGAATACTTTCTAGGGACTGAGAAGAGGGAAAGGAAGAGGTGTTTAATGCACATAGTTTCAGTTTTTATAGAGTTTTGAAGATTGTAGAACAACACTGAAAAACCGAGCACTATTGAACTGCACACTTGAGATAGTTGGGAGTAAATTCTATAATGTGTGCAATTTACCACAATAAAATAAAATCAACAGAGGGAGGGAGGGAGGGAGGGAGGGGGAGGGAGAGGGAGAGGGGGAGGAGATCAGAGGAAAGATGTGCTTTCAGAACACAATGATAGGATGTTACTAAGAAATTAATATGCATGCGTGTGTGTGTGTGTGAGAGAGAGAGAGAGAGAGAGAGAGAGAGAGAGAGAGAGAGAGAACTCAAGTAAAACCCAAAGGGAGACTGACTATTGGTCAGACATTTTAAAGAAAGTGTCAGGATTATTTGTATTGTGTAAATTTTCATGCAGGAAAAACAGACTTCATTTAGAATTAAATCAAGAAAATATACTGTGCTTTGCTGTTGTTTCTTAAAGTGATTATCTGGTTAGAGATATATACTGAACTATTTATGAGCAAAACTATGATTTTGGGAATTTGCTTTAAAACACTCCAGGGAAACATGGTGGGACTATAGATGAGACAAACAAGGGAGGGCATTGTAAGGAGGGAGGGCGCCCAGCGGGCCCACTATTCTGTACTCTTATTTATGTTTGGGAATTTCCACAATGAAGTATTTCTTAAAGAGACTCTCCTGTTAAGAGGAAAGTACACAAACTCTTAATGGGTTCACCACATTCTGAATGAATGGAGGGACTAGGACTATAGCATCTGCCAGTGCTGACAAACTCCTACAAGGTCTCCAGAAGCCACTACTGGGCTATTGAACTGACATGCACTGAATATCTACTATATACCTGGCACTTTGTTTGGTTTGGTAAAAAGATATGAAAAACATCATCCTTCATTCAATATGCTGGGTTAAATTTAGAGAGATGACTAGAAAGATGGCTCAACAGTTAAGAACACTAGCTGCTCTTGCAGAGGACCTGGATTCAGTTCCTAGCACCTGCATGGTGGCTAGCAACCATCTTCAACTACCTGTAACTCCAGTTCCAAGGGATCCAACACCCTCTTCTGACCACTGTGGGCATTGCACAGCATGGGTGCACTTACATACATGCAAGCAACACACTCGTATAAATAAAATAAAAAGAAGCTCAGACTGTCAAGTATCAAGCAGAACTTTTTGTTCTTTGTTGTTGTTGGTGGTGGTGGTGGTGGTGGTGGTGGGGTGTGTGTGTGTGTGTGTGTGTGTGTGTGTGTGTGTGTGTGAGTGATGTACTCCTACGTGTGCTTATGTAGAGGCCAGAGGTCAATTTCAGTATATTCTGTTGCTTTCCACCTTATTTTTTTATTTATGTGTATGAATGTATTGCCTGCATGCATGTAAGTGCATATGTGTAATGCAATGCCCTAGGAGGTCAGAGGAATGTGCCAGATCCTCTGGACCTAGAGTTACAGATAGTTGTTAGCTGCCATGTGGGTGCTGGGAACTGAACCTGGGCCATCTGCAAAAGCAATCAGTGCTCTTAACCACTGAGTCATCACTCCAGTCTCTCTACCTTAGTTTTTGAGACACTGAACCTGGAACTCACTGATTCAGATACACTGGTTACCCAGAGAGCCATAGCGATCCACTTGTCTGTTGTCTCTGTCTCCACATCCCTCTGCAAATACCCCAATCCCCGTGCTTGGAGGTGTTGCCTGGCTTTTTACATGCATGTTGGAGATCTGAACTCAAGTCCTTATGCTTGTGTAGCAGGTATTTTTACCCACAGAACCATTTCCCCAGGCCAAGAAGCTATTCTTGCAGAGGAACTTCTAGGCAAACTTATGAATGGAACGAAGGGTAAAGGATGAAGAAAGCTTCCTAATGCCTGTACAACTTAGTTGGCTCTTGATGAAGAAGAGCAAGTTAGTCAAGTGAAAAAGAATAGAAATGATCTAGATCAAGTATCTTAAACTGTGGGTCACATAATTGACTGTGGGGGTCATGAAAACTTTGACAGGAGTAAAAGGTTTCTAAACATGCAATAACCAAAAATGAATTCAAAATCAAATGCAATAATGAATCTGCGGTGTTTCTGGCAGCACTTGCCAGTGATGCATTGTGTGATTGCACTGCAGTCTTGTTTCTGAACACCCACCACATGCTCTTTGCATGCTAATATGCCACGCAACACCAACAAAGGCTGCCTGAAACATTTCGGCCCAGATTCAAAACTGCTGTATGTTAGGAATTACTGCACATACAAAGTTTTCTGCTCTTACAGAAACAGAGTAGTTTAGTTATGGAAACCAAAGACTTTTAACATTTTCCCACCATCACTCCTCAGCATGTAAGTATCTATCTTTGGATTTTATTGCATCAGACAAACAAGCACATTTATCTCATTATTATGCAAATTTGCTTTAATTTGTATATATGTGGTTGTGTGTTCTTGTATGTACAGGTACATACATGTGTGTAGGCCAGAGGACTTTGCATGTCATTCCTCAGATTCCCCCTACATATATATTTTTTGAGACAGGGCCTCTTGCTGACTTAGAACTCACCAGGCAGGCGGGGTTGGCTGGCCAGTGAGCCCTAGGAACCTGCCTGTCTCTGCCTCCCCTACTGGAATTACATGTGTGCACTATCATGCCTGGCTTTCATTAGGTGTGTATTGGGGATCAAACTCAGGTCTTTGTCCTTGCAAGGCAAGCACTTTACCAACTGATCAATTTTTGAAAACATCCCAAACCATGTTTGCATCTTTAATAAATGGTAAAAATCACATATACACTAAATAATTGTTTTTTAAAAAATTTTAATAATTACATGATTTGAAGAAGCATTTCATTACAGCTTTAACATAATAATTATTTTTAAATAAAATTTTATTATGATTTATTATCCATAAATGTTTGAGTTGTGT